GTCTATGACAAGGGTAATAATAGTGTTATTTTACTGCTTCATAAAACTGAAGGATCTCGTACAAATGTGAATAACTTTTGCATCTCGCTTTTTGGGTATTAGCGTTACCTGGAGCCGTCTATATGTACTTAAGCCAATTTTTTTTATGTTATAAAAAGTGATAATTATCTTTTAGTTGCAAAATATCATAATTTAATTTGAAAGATTTATATGCTAAACGTTTATATGCCAAAAAATTCGTAAGTGATAAGACGCACATGAACAATTGTTCATTTAAAGATAGTTACTTGTTAAATAAAAGGATATTTTAGAAATATATTATGTCTCAATAAATTAATATCTTCCGGCCGATATCGTGAGATTCAGATATAGTACATATAAAGTTTATTTTCGAAAAGTGAAGATATTTATTTTTATTAATAAAATAATCGATATATCCGTTCTTAATCTAAAAGTTATTTTTATTTTAGAATATATTACCTTTAAATAAATAATTTTCTCCAAAATTTGTGAAAGACTTAAGTCATAAAGGTCGGTTTCCCAAACATTTGGTATTTGAATTTTATTAAGTTATATTTAATAATAATCTCAATAAACTATTTGACATGTTGGCTATCAAATTTTGTAAGAGTATATTAATTTAATTTTCTTTTTAAAAAAATTAATTCGAAAATGAGATGTTGGATTTAATAGTGTCTCATAAGTAGTACCAAAATAAAATAATTATTTTCTCATTTTTAAATTATGTTAACGTTCAATAGTGGATGTTTTTTCGCAACTCAATTTGAAATATAGCTTATGATAGTTTTATGGACATATACATAGAGTATAGATTTTATTTGAATACAATTATGTATAATTTGAATACAATTATGTATAAAGATGAAAAAAATACATATGATACAATATAATATATATATATATAGATATTATGAATTAGAATCGGTTCTTGTTCGGTTCCTCGGTTCGGTACGGTTATTTTCGGTTCGGTTCAGTTCTCGGTACGGATATTTTATGAATCTCCAAAACCGTACCGAAAAAAATTTCGGTACGGTTCGGTTCGGAGATAGTCAAACGGTCACCGGATATTTTTCGGTTCGGGGTGAATTCGGTTCGGTTTGGTTTTCGGTACGGTTCGGTAATCTCCGAGACCTGTGCTCAGTCCTAGGGGCCACGTTTCATAATAATATGGTTAGACATGGCCACGGGTCGGCCCGACCCGTGGCCCGGCCCGGCTGATGGCGACGAGATCGCATTGGCTTATCTGGACAAGTTCGATCGCCTTCGTATTT